ATTGGAAATGGGGGACCCTGATGTAAACAAGACGAAAGTCTTTCTCTGGTCTGCATCCCCTTAACAATTGTATGTTTTGAGCTGTACTGTACTGTACCCAATATACAAGCTGTTAATAAACTTTTCAATCAATCAATCAATCAATCAAAGCTTTGTGATTGGCCGGCGTCACCCCATGTGTCGGGGCGTGGCTGAGGGTCTTCAGTACAGGTGGCAATATCGTCACCTGCCTGCGCTCATCTCTGAAACTAGACCATGTAAACAGGCTGGTGTTTCTTGCAAAAAATCTTTAAGAGATGACATGAGCAGTCCTACCAGCATTTGCCATGGTGGCCTAAACATTTTTATTTGGTCTTAAATTGTAGTTCAACATTTATTTCCTGTTACTTCTGGACCATGACGGTTGGCCAGCCTTCAACGTTTAACTGAGTGGAATATGTTGAATATGTTTTACCAAAATGTTGGCTATATGTTAAGGAGTTTTCAGTAGGTTGTGACAGTGCACTGCATCATATTTGATTTCATTTATTTTGGTCTAATTTATTTTTATTTATCATATTCATAATATATGTTTAGTATGGTTTTGGAAGTGCGCTCTTGTTTTATTGGTAAAATATTATTTGTTTTAAAAGTTCAATAAATGGGTCAATGAATAATCGTCAAAATAATCGTGATATAAATTATTGACCCAAATAATCGTGATTATGATTTTTGCCATAATCGCACAGCCCTAGTCTGTTGCTTATTGTTCTACTAGGCCAAAATAGAGTCAAAGAGTATATGAGAGTGAGTGTGTTAATTAATATATTTGGCAGTTTGGAGTAAGTCTGTAGATTTGTGTGTGTGTGTGTGTGTGTGTGTTTCATGTATAGGCCTCTCACGATAATTAATTTTGTTGGATACATTTTCCCGGAAATTATTGCGATAAACGATAATATTGTCGGCACCGTTGTATGACCATTTAGACCACTGATATAATGATAATATATAACAGTAATTCAAGTACATCCTTTCAAACTGCTAGTCACATCCTCATGTAAATGGAAATGTATCGAGTTCATTTTATTTATCGTACGATAAGTCAATTAATTGCTTATCGCAACAGGCACACAATAAAACAGTGGAAACAAACATGTGTTTGACTTTCATTAGTGAATGAAACTTTGTGCCCTTTATAGTCTGTGTCCAATATTGTGTATTTGTATATATTGTAGGCTATTTGTATATCATATATAAGGTCCCGCTGCTGACACATAGCAGTCATTTAGTGCGCATATGTGTAATCAAACCCATGATATCAAAATCTCACTCCAGCCAGGTACCCAAAGTTGGCAACCCTGCTTTACACGACACTGTTCAACCCTTAATTCTGCTTCACTCTTTAACTAAACAACTACGGATGTCTTGAAAGATTATTTCGCTAAAGATTTTGAAGACAAAAATACATGAATAAAAGTTACAGTGCAGTTTAAGATGTGAATAGTTCAATTAAAAGCAGCGGCAAAAAGAAAAGTCTTTAGTCTGGATTTAAAAGTAGTCAGAGTTGCAGCGGACCTGCAGTTTTCAGGGAATTTGTTCCAGATATTTGGAGCATAATAACTGAATGCTGCTTTATCATGTTTAGTTCTGACTCTGGGGACAGAAAGCTGACCAGTCCCTGAAGACCTGAGAGATCTGGATGGTTCATAATTTAGCAGGAGGTCAGAAATGTATTTTGGGCCTAAACCATTCAGTGCTTTATAAACCAGCAACAGTATTTTGAAATCTATTCTTTGACACACAGGAAGCCAGTGTAAAGACTTCAGAACAGGAGTGATGTGATCCACTTTCTTAGTGTTAGTGAGGACTCAAGCAGCAGCGTTCTGAATCAGCTGCAGCTTTCTAATAGATTTTTTAGTGAGACCTGTGAAGACACCATTGCAGTAGTCCAGTCTACTGAAGATAAAAGCATGGACAAGTTGTTCCAAATCCTGCTGTGACATTAGTCTTTTAATCCTAGATATGTTCTTTAGGTGATAGATAGTAGGCTGATTTAGTAACTGTTTTAATGTGACTGTTGAAACTCAGGTCAGAGTCCATGACTACATCTAGATTTCTGGCTTTATCTGTTGTTTTGAACATTGCAGACTGAAGCTCAGCGCTAACTTTTATACGTTCTGCCTTGGCTCCAAAAACCATTACCTCAGTTTTATCTTTGTTTAATTGGAGAAAGTTCTGACACATCCAGTCATTGATTTGTTCAATGCACTTACTCAGTGTTTGAATTGGAGCATAGTCTCCTGGTGAAATTGTTACGTACATTTGTGTGTCATCCGCATAGCTATGGTAACTTATTTTTGTTGTTTTTCATTATCTGAGCCAGTGGTAGCATGTAGATGTTAAAGAGAAGAGGCCCCAAGATGGAGCCTTGAGGAACCCCACATGTCATATTTGTCAACTCAGATGTGTATTTAACATATAGAAACAAAGTTGTTTCTGTCCTTTAAGTAGGATTCAAACCAATTTAGAACTGTTTCTGAAAGTCCCACCCAGTTTTCTAGTCGGTCGAGTAATATGTTGTGGTCAACAGTGTCAAACGCAGCACTGATATCTAATAATACTAACACTGTCTGTGTTTAAGTGGATGTCATTGAAGACCTTTACAAGAGCAGTCTCAGTGCTGTGGTTTGGACGAAAGCCTGACTGGAACACATCGAAACAACTATTTAAATGCAAGAAATTACTCAACTGTTGAAAAACTACTTTTTCAATGATTTTACCTAGAAATACTACTGCTACTTATATTGTTAAAACTACTACTGCAAAACTGTGACAACAATCACTCTAACTACTACCCAACCAATAGTACCGTATAATTGTAGATTCTACGATTATTTACACCACCACAAACCAATCCGACACAACCTGAGCCCAGAGCAGTCAGGGTCAGCCTGCCTGATTAGACTGAGGCTGGTGTGAAGGACCAGCTGGTGCTCGAGAAAAAGGCCTGAAGGAATTATTGACCCATCTCAACTCTCACCCCCTCACTCTCACATGCGCACCCTGGGCTGTGACCTGTGAAATTACTGCTCCGCTGGTGAGATTTGTTTCTGAGGGGCTCTATCAGCTTCTCAATGTGCCGTGAAGACAGGTGAAAAAGAGAGACACAAAGAAAAATGCGTGTAAAAGCTAACAGATGCTCGTTACACGCACACACGACAAAACAACACACATACACAACATGTTATGTATTCATAGAGCACAGCAAATGTAACAGTGTCTTATAAGTTATATGTTTATTTTCAAGCTACACTTTTGTCCTCTGCCAGAACATTTCAAGGATTTAGCGGTATTCTTTTTTCTTTTTTTTAAAAATCAGAATGGATTTTGGCATTGAGTGTTGTAATTACATGTCTGCCTGCCAGAATAAAAATCACAAACTTTCCATAGTACTTCTAAAAACTGCCTCAATCCTGCTAACCGAAGGTCACAGTTAACATCGAGCATTATTTAGAAAATGAGAGAGTTTGAGAGAGAGAGTGACATAGTTAGAGGAAGTGAATAAGAAATGCAGTGGGGTTCTCATTCCTAATATGCATGCTGCTGAATATTCATGAGGCTAAAAAACACTTCCAATTAACTTTATGAATTATTAATATTCATGATAAAAGCCTATGCATATGCATTTGCTCTTTTATTGTTGGCCTAAGTGCCACTGAGCACCGGTGTGTGATGGACCCAAGATGTGTGTGTGTGTTTGTGTCTGTGTGTTTCGATGCGTGTAGGCGTGTGACAGAGAGAGAGGAGAGGGAGTGGGGCGAGGGGGAAAGCGGAGGTTTATTTGTCAGCCTGGATGTTCACAATTCTGTTTCTTTGTGCAGACTATCTCCCTCTTCCGTTTGCTTGTCTGATTTCTAACAAACATCTGCATGACAAGGTGTCAGACCAGAAAAATATGTGCACCCACGCTCCCGATTTCATGTCATTTACATAAAGATTTCAACACTAAAACTAAACTACGCAGTCTGTACACTGTGATTTAATTCAGACAACTCACTATTTAGTTGTTACAAATCAACATAAATATCGATATTATCTCATCAGCATTGTTGATCACCTATTTGACATTAAAACCTGATGATTATAACGTAGAGTCTTACATCATGTGTCAGCACTTTGCTATTGTTGGACTGTTTTATAAATGATGCAAACCAAGCCACAGAAATAAAGCTTTGCATACTCAGGGGTAAAGCAAGGTCTAGACTTTCCTTCTCAATGTTTTTTGGGCTGGTCCCTATGAATTCTGTCCAGTAGAGACACCATCAGTCTAAATGGTAGGTCATATTGTTCTTTTAGTGTGGTCGTAGAATCAAAACTGAACGACAAAGATGTGATTTCAAATTTAGCCAGCTTAGCGTTGACGTATTCTGGGTTTGAGTGTAGGAGACAAAGAGATAGAGAGATAGGGAGTACCAGAGGGACAAGAGAGAAGTGGGCAGGGATTGAATGAGAAGATTAGATGGACATTGACTGAGAGGTTGAGACGAGAGAGGGATAGACACACCGAGTGAGAGCGAGAGTGTGATTCAGAGAGCGAGGCCCAGTGATAACGAATCAGCTATCTTGTTGAACCAGGCCTGTGTCTAGCTCACCTACATGAACACACTCGCTCTAATTGCCTAACACAATCATGTGAAGAGAACGAGTGGCAGTTTGAGAGGCGGACAGTCGGTGGCCTCATACACACCACATGTGTCATCACAGTGTTGCCAGGTAACGGAGCTTTTGTCTGATCCAGGGTGAACTTTTATTTACAAGAACACTGGCTCTCGCACAGCAACGTGAAAGACAGACACACTCACTGACGACAGCACACACACACACACACACACACACACACACACACACACACACACACACACACACACACACACACACACACACACCACACACACACACACACACACACACAGAGACAGGAAGGGGGAATGTACGGTCACTCAACCCAACACATCACTCACATCTTGTGACGACACCCTCCAGCCTGATGATGTTGGGATGGTCAAACTGTCCCATGATGGAGGCCTCAGACAGGAAGTCCCGCCTCTGTTTGTCAGAGTATCCCGCCTTCAGACTCTTGATGGCCACGTAGATCTCCCTCTTTCCCTGAACACGCAGCCGACCACTGCACACCTCCCCAAACTCTCCTTCACACACAAATATGAGAGAGAGTAGTAATTAGAATTAAAGTTACATTTTTACTGTCTTTTGAGTTATTAATCCACTACTATTTTACTGCCAACTCACCAGCTCCAATGACTCTCTCTATGCGGATATTGGAAGCATCGATCTCTTTGGCAAAGTCCCTGACAGCCTGGTTGGGGTCTTCGTACGTGTGAGGATGGATGTAAATCCTGCTGCCTGGCAGCTTGACTGCAGGAGAGGAAAAGAGGAACAATTGGGAGATATTAATAAGAAAGATACATGCTTAATGCCCTGAAATATAGCCAGCTTTTGCTCAGTGTGTGGTTTTCCATTGGTTTGGTTTGAAGTAAACAGTATCAATAGGGTATTGCGCCTCCAAGGAAATTAATGAATTCACGTTAAATTGTGAGTTTAAGCGTGGGTGTTCTGTTTGAGTGATAATTGACACACAACTAGGTTGTTGGCAATGGTGTTAAAATGACTCACAATTTTAACAGGAACCCATAAGGAGCTTCTCTATGCCAGCAAACATTTGTGCAAGAAAGTGTGAAACAACAATCCTCGCATAGACACAAACTGTATGTCATTCTGTAGCTCTGACTGTTCTCATGATACAGCAAACAAAGTGTGACTGTTCAACTCAGTCAAACTAAATACAGGCAGTGATGGGATTAGTGTGTAGGGTGCTTTCATAGCCCACACTTACATTTATAAATAAATCCTTGAGAGAAAAATAATACAAATAAATCAGTTTGAATGCATCGTCCCATAATGTCACTGAATACACTGCTCAATAACAAAATGAAACATTACAATTTTAACAGCAACAAACATGCCAGCATTTAAGAGTATGTGTCCTTACCTCTACCATGTTGGAACTGCATCTTCTCTTCATCAGGGTCCTGTTTGGCCTTGATATATCCACAGTGCCTGAAACACAAAATGCGCAGCTTGATTATGATCCAGTATATATACAGTGTACACTCCCCCCCCCCACACACACACACAGATACCAATATATCTGTATAAGACATATATGAGAGATCCCATGCCCTTGAGTGTGTATGTGCAATCCAACACAGGTGCTTGATATATTAAATCTATGATATTTCCAGAAAAATCCTCTGCCACGATGTGCAAAGCCAGAAGCTCTGTATGAACAACTAGATATATGATTTTGTCTCCACACACCCATTCCTCTTTATCAGACAAGCCTGGAGGAAACAAAGCTCCAAACTGTTTTTCTCTGCGTCTACCTGTCAATGCTATACTCCCCTTAAAGCTCTTATGCCTGAGGTTCTGTGAATGAGTGTGTGTGTGTTTGTTAGTGTGTGTGTGTGTCTATATGTCCATATCGAGGCAGATGTATGCTTGAAAGAACCCCTCCCTTTTGTCGCCCATGCACCCCTCTGGCTGTTAACAACTGCCTTCAATAATATCATGCGTCTCACACACAGCTCAATGCCCTTTTTGAACCCCTCTGTGCACACAGGCACACCCCCCCTGCAGTGAGGGTTAGTCAAACGATCAAGAGAAAGTATTGACAAATTGATCAATTCAATCCTACCGTCCAGCTGTGAGGAAGTGTTAAACTAACTCTGTTTTACAGGCCTCAAAGCTTTGATGCTGCTATTGTGTGTGTGTGTGTGTGTGTGTGTTTTGGTGGTTTTATGTTTTGTGCTAGTGGACGTCCTTTCCCCTTAGTTGAGCTTCCAACTCTATTGTTTAACAGCCCTGATAAGCTATAACGCTGTATTTGAGATTTACAGTCTTTTACATTTCGCTCAAACATTTTAGGCCAAAAAAACATAAAAAGAAAGTTTTAGATAACGAGGTACTAAACACGACATAAATACTACAGCCTCCTACTCGCTCCTCTTTTCCACTCATGTGCAATCCTCTTCAACTGCTGTACAAGTAAAGCAGCAACCAGTCAGTGTGTCTTTCCATCAGGAAGATAAATTGATGTGGGCTAGGAGCCAAGAGAAACTGGGAATCATCCGCACAGACTGTATATGGTTTAAGGAAGCAGAGTGGAGGAGGACAGAGGAGAAAAGCAGACTGACAGTGAAAATGTTGGATAAACACAATACTAAGATAATCAAAAAGCAGAATACTGAATGTGAAACAGTCAAGAGTAATAATAATAGACAGCAAGACAGAAATGGAGAAAGGTGGGGTCTCGCTGGGCTCAGTAAATCTCTGTCATTTGGTGTTTAATCCCTGTGTTGATGTTACACAGCTGAATGCATGGTGAAACTCAGACATCAATAGACCATCTTGGGAATATACACACACACACACACACACACACACACACACACACACACACACACACACACACACACACACACACACACACACACACACACACACACACACACACCACACACACACACACACACATAAGGGTAGAGACCGGTTGCCGGTATTTGGGGATAAAGAGGAGGGGGCATAATGATCTTCGGGCCCCACCTGGTTATCAGCTGGGCTCAAGCCAGTCAAACACCAAGGGACTATCATTACCCCCTTGACACGCACACACACACAGGCAGTGCTTAGGGGCATGTGTTTAGAGCATATGGGGAACGGGGACATAGGTCACACCTCTGCTCCAACTGTGATAATCCCGTGGGGGCGTACACACACACGCACTCTCTCACACACACACACACACACACACACACACACACACACACACACACACACACACACACACACACACACACACACACACACACACACGCACTCTCACACACACACACACACACACACACACACACACACACACACACACACCCACACACACACAGGAAACCTAAGTTCAAAACACTTCCCTATCACTGCTTGATGTGAATATGTGCTGGTGTGTCTTCACGGGTGCATGGCGTGTGTGTGTGTGTGTGTGTGTGTGTGAGTGTGTGTGTCTGAGGGGAAATGAACACATTTCCATAGTAATTACAGAGGGACTCATTTCTCCTCTTCAGTTAGAAGTGTCATGAATCATTAGCGCTGCAGTCTTAAACATGGCACAAACCTGACATGGCTGTGGCTTTTGTTCCCCCCGACAGCTGTGTCTCTATGTGTTGGTAATAGATATTTTATTTAATACCTTCAACAAAGTCCATGCAATATTAATCCATTAAAGAGTGTAGAACTTGTTTTTGTTCAATACGTTTTCAGATTGGAAGCTGGTAATATGTGGCAGCAGTTGGCCTACAAAAACAATGTAGCATGACAAACAGCTGTCATATGTTAATCACTTTTTATTTTATTTTTTACAATTAGGCAGGATGTAAATAGTCCCCTTGTTAAGCTTTCTGTCAGAAATGTCCTTTTCGATTAAAGGTCAATTTTCTAGATCAATATCTACCCATTGTTGTTGTTTTTTATACAACAGCTAATGGCTTTTTTGCTGGCTACAGCAATATTTACCTCCACCATGGAGGTTATGCTTTTGATTTGATTTGCTTGTCTATTTGCTGAATTCTGGAACAATATGGCCCATTTAATTATGGAGTGGATCTGAGTCACAGGGTGGATAAAAACATTATTTTCTCGTTTAAAAACACCTTTGTGGATATCTGCTCTTTCCATGTTCCGTTCTAGCTCATCCTCAGCTAGCTCAGCTATCATTCATTTTTTTATATTAACTGTCCCTACAATATCCATTACTGTTGGATGGAACAATTGATCACACTGAGTCCACCTTGAAATGCTGTTGACATTAAACCAGAACATGATGTATAGGGGTGTTCCTCCTTCTGCTGGCTGCTGGTGTGTGTGATTTGCAGTCTTGGTTCAGGAGCCAATACACAGCGAGAGAATGGACACCAGGAAATGGCCTACACCTGAGAAGCTTTGACCTCAGTACATTTAAGTTGCTTCACAGCTGTAAGCGTTTCTACATTTCCTCCCAGGCCTTCACATGCTTTTGTAGTTTGTATTGAGGTTCTTTGTTTTGTTTGAACACATCAACTCATCCAAACCTGGCGTTCAAGACTGATGTGTCAGAAGTACATTTTCAGGTGTCTTTGAGCAAAATGTCACACTGCTGTTCATGTGTGACTCCTGCTTTTTGTCACTTACCAGCCTTGAGTTGGCCTTGTCTGTTTGGATGCTACATATTTTCACTTTACACCACGAGCCTCTTGAGCCGGAACAGATTTAGTGATGAGATAGTCCTCCTCGCATGGCCTCTTGCTGCTTCTTTATGCTGCAGTGCAGGGTCGGCGTCATGGGGGGTCATTCGCGGGCCATGCCCCCCCAAATGAGTCACTGTGCCCCCCCAAAGCAGGGTGGGCAAGCCTTGCCACTTTGCCGGTTTTAAAAAAAAAAATCATATCAGTGAAAACGTTTCCACTAAAGGTTTTTTGTGTGAAATACATCAGAAATAAAGAATACAAATATAAAACACAGCCTGAGGTGTGCTCACTGCTGCTCTCTGATTGGTGTGTTGCTTGACCAATGACCCCCGACCTTTGTTTTGTTATCATTACGTGGCTGTATGTTTAGATGAAAGCCCAGTGGCGATCTGTTCATCTGTTACACTGATTATACAGTAAGCCATCGAAAATAATATGATATAGTAGGCTTACAGTACAAGTAGCCTACTTCTGGGTCTCTGTGTTTCATTCAAGCTCGGCTCTGTGTGTGTGTGGCACGAGCGCATTTTGTGAGTGCGCGAGTGGTAACGTGGAATGTTGTTGTTAGCATCTGGTTAGCTAGCTATGCTAACGGATATAAAGAGCTGTTTCTACACCAAGGTGGAGGAGAGTCCTCTCCTGTCAGACTGAGAGGATCGTATCATCTCAGCTCAGTGAGGTAAGGACTCTCTCAGTGTTTAGATAGTTAACTTTAGTGTAGGTTATCTCAGTGGGTCTCAAACGGTTTGGTCACCATTTATGTAAACAAGTATTTGCGAGGAATACCTTTATATGATCATTATAGTTATTAAAGAATAAGAGAATAAATGAAAAACGGGTATGAAATACTATAGGACAGTAACACACGAATACAGTTTAAAAGGGGAGTGATTAGTAAAATATCCATAAAGAAAAAGTACATTTGTGTACAGTTCTGTTTCATATGGATGCTGAGAGATGTAGGCTATCCATAGATCTCTTCATTTTGCTCTCAAAGTGCACCAGATTGATGCATTTAACTTCAATATTTTAAAAATATTCAGCACTCACTGGATCGGTTCGCAACCGAGTGTGAAGCGACTGGGATGAGGATCAGCACCTCCAAATCTGAGGCCATGGTTCTCAGCAGGAAACCGATGGACTGTCCACTCCAAGTAGGGAATGAGTCCTTACCCCAAGTGAAGGAGTTCAAGTATCTCGGGGTCTTGTTCTCGAGTGAGGGAACAATGGAGCGTGAGATAGGCCGGAGAATCGGAGCAGCGGGAGCGGTACTGCAGTCGCTTTACCGCACCGTTGTGACGAAAAGGGAGCTGAGCCAGAAGGCAAAGCTCTCTGTCTACCGGGCCATTTTCGTTCCTACCCTCACCTATGGTCATGAAGGATGGGTCATGACCGAAAGAACGAGATCGCGGATACAAGCGGCCGAGATGGGTTTTCTCCGCAGGGTGGATGGTGTCTCCCTTAGGGATAAGGTGAGAAGTTCAGTCATCCGGGAGGGACTCGGAGTTGAGCCGCTCCTCCTTCGTGTCGAAAGGAGCCAGTTGAGGTGGTTCGGGCACCTAGTTAGGATGCCACCTGGGCGCCTCCCTAGGGAGGTGTTCCAGGCACGTCCAGCTGGGAAGAGACCAAGGGGTAGACCTAGGACCAGGTGGAGGGATTATATCTCTTCGCTGGCCTGGGAGCGCCTTGGGATCCCCCAGTCAGAGCTGGTTGATGTCGCCAGGGAAAAGAAAGTTTGGGGCTCTGCTGGAACTGCTACCCCCGCGACCCGACCACGGATAAGCG